ATATAACGTTTTAGACACATTCTAGACAGTTTATCAGCTAAAAAAAGTTAATTTTGGGGTAAGTTACTCTTTAAGTTCTTTTGTATTTAAAATGTGAACAAAGAAAGTAGGGTTGGTTTTTGCTAATGTTAAGCTAGCTCTTTGCTTTTTGGACCAATATAATGTTGGTAACTGAGTTTTTTCCCATTAGTGTTGAACTGGAGCTTCATGCTCACACTGCACTGTCCTCTGCTGCTCTTCAGCTACAGGAAGGTGATCTCTGACAYGTGCGATGGAGGAGTTAACAAACAGCAGAGTGCCAAACAGCACAGCTGCCCTCTGTTGGCCCCTAAAGGTCTACAGGTYGGCATCAAAGGACAGATGCTGGCCGTGGCTTCTGGTGATGACATCACATTCATTGTCCATCAAGAGCAGGTACTAAGAGGGAAGCAGTTTTTTCCAGCTTGGTCTTTCTTCCTTTGTTCCGTTTTCAAACATGTTTTGGTTCTTCCTAACAGGGCGACACAAGCAGTACCAAGTACCAGGTAGACCTGGGTGACGGAGTCCGAGCCATTTACCAGAACCTGACGGTGACTGACGAGCCCATCCAGCACCGCTACGAGCACCCAGGGGTTTACAAGGTTACAGTGAAGGCCGAAAACRTTGCAGGGCACGACGAGGCCACCATGTACATCCAGGTCACAGGTCTGCCTCTCAGYCCACCACATCACTGTAATAATCTCTCTGCTCAAAGGACTCAAAAAAGACACTTTTACCTTTAATCTCTCACTTCATTATGACTTTATTTGTCACGATAACGAAAAGGCCAAATCTTTATTTTTTTATACTTATGCTGACAGCTCCATTGTTTTGCTGAGRCATTAAACTCAAAGGCTTTTTTCCTGTTCTGTTTAATCTGGCACCTGGGAGCACTCAACACATTGCAGCCGAAGACACACCAGTAGAAGACAGTGCTCCCATTTAGGAAAATGTATTTTTTTTTGTTTTGTTTTTGCCAATTTGACAACACTTCTTCTGCAAAGAAGACACCTCTTTGAAAAACAACAACTGGCATTTTTTTAAACACAAGAGGATTGCAAACAGAATAAACTTACCATGGAGGAGCCCAGCGTCGGTAATGTCTAAGAATTGGTTGAATGCTCTAAATGCTAAAAAAAAATCTGTTCTTATTTCAGCAAATAGAATAAAATCTAATAAAGGAAACAGTTTAAAGCAGCTCTTGTTTTGGACCTAGGTGGTTTAACTGATATAATCACTTTACAAATTAGCCTTTTGCTTTTTAAAATGACTAACTTTGGTCATTTTCATGGAGAATGTAATGATGTGTAATTATTACATTTTAAAGCCCAGGTCAAACATTTCTTTACAGATAAAACTTTTTGCATCAAACTKGTCCACAGACCTTCACCGGTGCTGTCATTATCAGACTCTGGTGATGAGAAACCTCATGAGTATGACAGTCACTAGTTCTCAGGAAAGTGGGCCTGATTTATTTACCAGGGTTGTCATCTTTTCTAAAGTTTGTGTAAAATATTATAAAGAAGTGTCCTAAAATATTTATATTTTATTAAATGTTCCATCAAAATCAAGGAAAAGTGTAAATAAAAAGTAAAGCAGGTCTTACTGTGTTCTTCAATAAAGTGCCAGTTGTTTTTTTGCAACAGAGAAATCTGTTTGTAAATGAGTTTCTTTGCGGGAAATGTGATGTTAAATTGACATTTAGAGTAGTTTACAACCTCTCAACATAGAAGGAGGCATAAACAGCATATTAAATTCAGGCTTTTATTCATTTGATTTGATTTGATTTGATTTGATTTATTTATTTAACAGGAAAAGATTACTAAAAATCAAGCCTGACTCAGCATAATTGCTGTTTTACAGCAGGTTCCTGTTCTGCAGCACATAAAACACTCAGAATTACAGCATCACAATCACATCATTATACACCATAGACACAAAGACAAACAAGCAYACCAAATTTCARRAAGGCAGCATTTGCAAAATAGGACGTCTAAATATGAGCASAACAAAAAGTGTCCAGCAGATGGCAGACAAGATTCTTCTTAAAGGGCTGTAGTTTTGAAATGGACTTTACGTTTTGAGGAATGTCATTCCATGCTTTAGTATAAACATAGAAGAAAGACCTCTGGCCGTAACAGTTTTTAAAAGTTGGTAGTTTTTCTGGAGTGTAATTAAACACACAACTTCAGTATGTTGGCTCATTATGGATGAATTCAATTAAATTCAATTAAAAAATACTTYATTGATCCGAGAGGGAAATTAGATAAAGTTAAAAATAAAATGGATTAGCATCTATTTTGATTTTCCAAATAAGATGTYAGAGGCACAAACATGAAAATACTTACAAAATTTGATGCACACATGTTTTTACATAATTTCWTGTTGCATTGCAGAATTTTATCTTTTTATGTAAGAATTAAAGGTGTACTTCCTGTTCAGCCCCTTTACAGGAAGTGCACCTGGAAGCAGTTCCCATTGCGAAGAAAAACGAAGAAGTCARTTTGACAGCTGTAGTTCTTCCCACCGAGGCCAACATGACCGTCTTTTATTGGTGGATAGGAGACAGTCTTCAGGTAAATAAAGTACCTCCAAACAATACAAAAAAATAATAACCTGTTGCAAAACTTAGCAGATAAGAGTGTTTGCTCTCCTACAGCTGCTCAGCTAAATGCATTCATTACAAAATATTTACATTTAACATGGTATAAAAATAGCAACACATTTAAATGACACTGCTACTTTAAAACTTAACTAGATATCATTTTGAACTCCACCTGATTGATGTATTTATTCGGCTATTTCTTGCCTTTTTTTGGACTTTACCAGGTTTTTTATAGAAATGTGTAAACATGATTTATTTGTCTTTCTTGCTACTTTTTAACCAGAAATRAGGAAAACACATTCTATATGCAAAATAAATCTGAGATTCTGCAGCAGTTTGAAATGAAATTAATCAAAACAAAATAGTTTCCAAGTATTTCACACCACATTCCAAGAAGAATATTTAACATTTAAATGCATTCTGTTTTGAATATTACAGGCTTAGATCTCTTCAGATTAGACTATTCCAGGAGTAAATAAACAGTCATTTAAATTCTTATTTCTGATGAACAGTTGTGGTTTATTTGATTATTTATTTTTTTGTGTTATTAATTTGATATGTATTTCCTCTCGCAGCCCACATTGACCCTGCGGAACAGCATTTTGACTCGTTTCTCTCAGRCTGGAGACGTTTCGGTGACCGTCCAGGTTTCCAACGGTCGATCCATGGTTCAGGACACGAAGATTGTCCGAGTCTATGGTAATGCCAACAGAATTTTATACTTTAAAAATGTAATACCTTTAATACGGGGTTGTTGTTTTTTTGTCATTAGATGTGACTCTGTGTAACTAACTGACAATCCATACAATTTGACATGATGCCACGGCTACAAAACCCATCAATAATACAAAAAAACACGTAATAAAGTGCTTCCACATCACAGACAGGTGTCTCATGTTATTACCGTAGCAACACAATTCAAAAAGTTTCCTTCATCTGCAGCCACATTGTGCCACATACATTTAACATTTAACAACAGCATCAATACAAGCATAATGAATAAAATGTATTTTACTCATTAAAATGTTTTATTATCTGTACACAAACTCCATCCTCCTTTTTTTCTCTCAAGCAGAATTCAGTTCCTCTGTCAYACAGGTCATGATGGTGTTTCCGTTTCTGTCACCACTATGAAGCTACCACTGAAAGTTGAATCTGTTACGTTGTATTTTTGTTATAAGTTTTAATTTTCATGTAACTCTTGGAATGTCCGCTCAGCATTTAGCTTATAAGAYGCAACAGAAATCCAGTTTCCTGTTCTGACTGCTCTCTCTGATCATCCAATCAAAAGGTAAAAATGCTGACTTTGTCTGAGGCCAGCTAGCAGGCTCTGATGCCACCAACTCAACCTC